GAGTCATTCATTCTTTGTCCTTTTGTGTTTGGCTTATTTCACTTAGCACATAGTTTTCAAGGTTCATCCATGTTATACCACATATCAAAATTTTATTCATTTTTATAGTGGAATAATATTCCATTGCATGCATAGACCACATTTGTTTGTCCATTCATCTGTTAATGGACACTTGGGTTGTTTCTACCTTTTGGCTATTGTGACTAGTGTTGTTATAAATATCCGTGTGTAAGTATCTGTTTGACTTCCTGCTGTCAGTTCTTTTGGACATATACCTAGAAGTGGAATTGCTGGCTCATATGGCTATTCTATGTTTAGCCTTTGAGAAAACCATGAAACTTTTCCATAGCAGTTGCACCATTTTCTGTTCCCACCAGCAATGCACAAGTGTTCCCATTTCTCCCTGTTCTTGTCAACACTTGTTATCCTCTGTGTGTGTATGTGTGTTTTATTAGCCATCCTAGTATAGTAACTGCAAAGTAATATCTCATTGTGGTTTTGCATTGCTCTAATGACTAATGATGTTGAGCATCTTTTCATGTGCTTATTGGCCATCTGTAGATCTTCCTTGGAGAAATGTCTATTCGAGTCTTTGTCCCTTTTTAAATTAGGTTTTGTTGTTGCTGTTGTTGTTGTTGAGATTTAGGAGTGCTTTATGTATCCTGGATATGAATCCCTTATTAGATATATGATTTGCAAATATTTTCTCCCATTCTATAGGTTGTTGTTTGTTTGTTTGTCTTTGCTTTTCTGATAGTATCCCTTAATTCACAAAAGTTCTTCATTTCAATGAAGTCCAATTTATCTATGTTTTCTTTTATTGCCTCTGCTTTTGGTGTTATACCCATGAAATTGGTGCCAAATCCAGTGTCATGCAAATTTTCTCCAATGTCTTTTTCTGAGAGGTTTATAGTTTTAGCTCTTAAATATAGACTTTGATCCATTTTGAGTTAATTTTTATACAGTGTGTACAACTTCATTCTTTTGCATATAAATATCCAGTTTTCCCATCACTGTTTGTTGAAAAAACTGTCCTTTCCCGATTGAATAGTTTTGGCACCCTTGTAGAAAATCAATTGGCCATATAAGTGAGGGTTGGTTTTTAGGTTCCCTATTCTATTCTGTTGGCTGTCTTTATGTCAGTACTATACTGTTTTAATTACTGCAGCTGAGTAGTAAGTTTCAAAGTCGGGAAGTGTAAGTCTTCCAATTTTATTAATCCTTTTCAAGATTGTTTTGGCTATTCAGAGGCCCTTGCAATTCTGTATGTACTTAAAGATCAGTTTTTCCATTTCTGTGAAAAAGGCTATTGGAATTTTGATAAGGAGTGCATTGAATCTATAGATCGCTTTGGGTAGTCTTCCCATCCATGAACACAGAATGTCTTTCCATTTATTTAGGTCTTCTTTAATTTCTTCAAGCAATGTTGTGTAGTTTTTAGTGCACAAGTCTTTTACCTCCTCGATTAGATTTATTCCTATGTATTTAATTCTTTTAGATGCTCTATAAATGGAATTGCCATCATAATTTCCTTTTCACGTTGTTCACTGCTCATGTATAGGAACACAATCAACAATATCTCATTTTTTGTAAAGAAAGAAATAGGGACTTAAAATAAGTTGTTCAAAGGTCTTTGGTTAGTAAGGTCCAACTCAGGTCTCTAACTCCAAATCTATTGTGCTACCTCTCAAAGGAGGTAGCTTACCTGGTCCCTTTCCCATATTGTCCTTTCTTTCTGACTTGATGCTCTTAGTTGCAAATTAAGAAACACTAGAAAAAGAAGAAAATGGAGCACTGCAACAATTATGCTCTAAATTCTGGCCAGTGTGACAACTGAACCATAAGGAGGCAACCAAGTTCTCAAGGACACCCATGATATTCCATAGTTACATTCATGTCCATTCTTTTTGAGTGGAGGGCCCAGAGACAAATAACAAAGAGCCAACATTGAATGTGTGACCTCAAAATGCCAGAGTGGTTGGTGAGAATGACTCAGAAATCAAGAAGCTACTTTTAGCAAATCAAGTACTGTAATGCATTGTCAACACGGGAGAGTTCCTCATGGCCCTGACCAAAGGACTGTGTCATGGCACGTAGTTGGGGTTAATACTCTTGAGGAACTGGGTGGGGGTGCCTGAGGCTCAGGAGAGGTGCACTCTGCAGCCTGCCACCAGGTTAGAGACCAGGAGTGTGTCAAGTAACACTGAAGAGTCTCTAACAACCATGGCAGTCCTGATATGCCTGCAGGAGGGGATGGATGAGCTTTGTCCAAGACCCTGAATGCCATTCAGGAACCGCTAGGTTCTCTTCCCCAGTCCCCACTGAGTACTTTTCCTCCTCTCCCAAACCTGCTGTCTCACAGGATTTCTGAATCTCCATCTCCTGCTGATTCTGCAGAACAGCACAGGCAATTTGAATGTAGAGCCATGACTACTGTTGCACCTGCCACTGATGGGAACCTGACCCACTAGCTATGGACAGTGCTATGAGAAGTTCCTCAGTCTGCTTTCCTGCTGCCCCTTGCCTAGGCCAGCAAGATATCCAGAAAGGAATGCTGAAGCCTGGTAAACAGAAGTATGCTTCTATGTATACTTCTATTATACATACATACACACAAACACACATACAGAGTTGAGAAATTCGAATATCTTCTCCCTCCTCCCGAAGGGAAGAACATTCTGGCCAGAAGATAACACCTTGGGATCTTCTCAATTTACCCTCTTCTATCTCTCCAGTGTAAAGGTGCTCTATTGCAGTGAGGTATTCTTCCTCATACCTGCCAAGAAATCCCAGACAAGGAATGATAGAGCCTTCATACCTAATGAATTACTAACATTTTTAGGTGGAGAAGTAAGGAGTTGCCCGAGCACATGTGTAGGTTCCTCCTAATATGTAGGATACTGAGAAAATCCCACAGAGCTTCAAAGCTGCCTCAGTAACAACCTGATAGAAAATAAGTGAAGAAAGTTCACAAAGCAAAATGTCAGCATGGTATCCAGGTAACTTTCTCTGTGGTTCAGACTTTGGACGTGTTATAACAGCATTTCATTTATATCACAGAAAAAAATTAATCAAGTAGGTCATAATGCTTTAAATTATTTTTCCAGTGGGACTCTTATGTTCTAATGACACAGTCTATTCCTACTTCTTCCCACACCAGTCTCTCCCTGCTAGAAATTCCTATTGCACACTCACTGTACACCTCATTTAGCAGCTTATTTATTGAGTGATTAATATGCATGTCTGACTGCACTAGATGCTTTGTGACTACAGAGACTAGAATAAGGTCCCTGCCCTGGTGGAGAAGACTTAGCTGCTTTATCATGATATATTACTGTCTCCTGAGGGCAAGGCTGTCTCCACAGTAAAATGCAAGTTCTCAAGTTCTGCAAGGATATCATGCTTATTATGGTGCTATGGACATCCTAGGATTTCAGAAAAACTAGATTGAATTAAATCCTCTCTCTGTGTCTCTGTCTCTGGGGCTTACCCACTAATTGAGGATGGTAGCTGAAGTGCAATAGCTGATTTGTTCTTAAATGGCCAAACCTAACACAACTCGTCTACTTCAGCTGTGCTTAAGGGGTAAGGGTAGGGGTGAGAAAGGAAAAACCATCCTAGCATGTTGTGACATGGAAAAGTTGCTCAATGGAAGTCCACTCTCCTGGAGGGACCCCTTGCTGTAGGTGTAAACTGTTGCAGGGTGAAATCAAGTGCGGTGACTCAAAGCCCCACAAGTAAAGGAGTGAGGAAAGGCCAAATGAGTAGAATAGGGAAGGAAAGCAGCAGAAACTTCCTCAGCCAGCATATGAGCGGCAAGGGCCATAAAGAAAGGAATGGCTTCCTTTGAACGTAACCAAAGACATGCCAGGGTCAGTCGTCGGAAACCACGGTTCGCACTTCACACATCTGTAGCAATACAGGCTGATGTGGGCACGTTGGGTTTCCAAACACCTGCTCTCACAGGTTAACAGCAGCCCGAGTGACTCTGAGCTCTTCCCTCACACCGGTCCTGAGCTGGAAGGATTGAGACAAGCAAGTCCACCCAACCCTGGTTTCTCTTCCATGGGGTCCCGGGACAAGTCGAAAGATCTAATCAAAAACAGAAAAAACTGGCGCGTTGGGGGACGGGGTAAGGATGTAGAAGAGGCTTCTGCTGACTTCAGGCATCCCCGGTCTCTCCCATCGTAAACCAGAAGAGTCCATTCCCTGCAGACGACCAAGTCGAACGATCCTCGGGCCGATCAAGGTGCCCGCTGAGTCTGGTTGCAGCTCCGGGCCACGATTTCCTCCCATCTCTTGCTCCAGGGCGGCGAACGGGGTCACTAGAGCCCCCTGGCCCGGGCCCCTCAGGGCGCCCGGGACAGTGAAGCTCGCGCTCCTCCTCTCGCATCCCCTCCCCTCCTCTTTCCTCCCTCAGCCAGTCCCTCCCCAAGCCGTGGCGGAGGTGGGGCCGGGCTTGGCTCGGCAGGGCCCGTGCATTCCAGAGAGCCGAGCGAGCTGGAGCAACAAAGGAGCCGGGGAGTCGGTGGGAGAAGTCGGGGGGCTGCGGCGCGCTCGGGCGAAGGTGGCGGCTGGGCCGCGGGCTGGCGCAGAGGGGAAGCCAGGGAGCTAGTACCCCACCGCCGGCCCGCGCCTGGCCTCCATCGCAGGGCCGGGAGGCAGTTTTAATGGTGGAAGAGGGAATGGGGCTGGAGATTGGGGGCCCAGGGGGCTCCCGGGGCTGAAGACAATTTGGATTGGCCGGAGAAAGAGTAGAGAGTTGTGCATCCCGGCGGGGGCCTCAGCCGCCCAACATGGGCCCCGGGGTCCAAAGTTTGCGAAGTTGGGCTCCGAGGCCCCGCCGAGCGCCGAGCGTCCGAGGGGGCCCGGCACGGGACTTGCGGGGCGCACAGGTCGCCTGAGCCACATCCGCGGCCCCAGGGGTTGCGTGTGTGGCCGGGGGGCTCCGGGGAGCGGGCGGGGGCGCCGGGGCTTCTGCTGAGTTGGCGGGTTTGGCCATGGCCGCTGCCCGCCTCGCACGGGGGCCGGAGATCCTGCTCCTGGGGCTGCTGCTGCTGCTGCTGCTGGGGGGCCCGGGCCGGGGGGCGGCCTTGAGCGGGAACGCGACTGGGCCTGGGCCGCGGAGCGCCGGCGGGAGCGCGAGGAGGAGCGCGGCCGTGACCGGCCCTCCGCCGCTGCTGAGCCACTGCGGCCGCGCAGCCCCCTGCGAGCCGCTGCGCTACAACGTGTGCCTGGGCTCGGCGCTGCCGTACGGGGCCACCTCCACGCTGCTGGCCGGGGACTCGGACTCCCAGGAAGAAGCGCACGGCAAGCTCGTGCTCTGGTCCGGTAAGCGCGCGGGAGCCGGAGCCGGGGCTGCCGTGGTGGGATGCGGGACTCTTGGACAGAACAGGCTCGGGCCTGAGCTTTGGCGAGGGCGGGAGCTGCACCCGGGAGAGTTGGAGGAACACAGTCTGGAACTTTGGGTGCCGGCTGTATCCTCGGTGAGGAGGAGGGAGGGCGAGGCAGTGGAGGGAGCCGGTCACAAAAGGCCGGAGCAGGGTGGGTGCGCTAAGGATGCGGGGGAATTGAGGGGCCCATGAGAAAGGGACTCAGAGCCACGGGAAAGGACGTTTTTTAAGAAAGGGAGCTGCTCCACCTAAGTGCTGCTCTGGAAGCGGGGTCCTTGGGGATTCAAGGAGGTGTTTAGATCTTGGAAAAGAAACCAACCGGGAAGTCCAGAGTTGAAGAGGAAAAAAGGAAAAAGATGGGGTAGAAGATTTAGGCATTGAGGGACAGGGTGGGGGGAAAGAACTGAGTGAAATTTGTGACGGAATCGAAACCCCCTGGTGTTGAGTAATTAAAAGTTAACCAGAAATTTCCAGAAATCTTGTTTTGGGAGACAGGAAGTCCAGAGAACGGTGATCTTGTCTTGCTTTTACCGGAGATTTCACTGTTTCCTCATCTGAAAAATGGGGACTCTGAACTTTTTCTGAGGTTATGAAGGCATGAGACTATTCTAAGAATTATTTGTGTATTCTTTGGAAGTTTGGATCCTCAGGCTGGTCAGGGCTGCGGAAGGACACTTAAGTCTGGGATGTTGAGAGCCTGTGGAAACTTTCCTAGTGGTCTGAAGCCCCAGAGCACTCACCTCAGGGTAGGATTATGGCCTACCTGAAAAACTGCAGAGTGAACCCACACAAATCCTTCCTAAGCAGTGTGGAGTGGATTCTCTCCCCACTTGTCACTCTTCTGGGTTGGGGGCCTAAAGAGGCCTGGGGAAAAGAACTGGTCTTGTCATCCCTTGCTTCTAGTCCATGTGATTCCAAAACTGTCCTTGAAACAGAAAGCCAGAAGTCAGGAGCCAGCTTGGCAACCTCCTTCTTTCGACAGGCCTTGGGTGCCCTACATCTTCGTTCTGCCCTGGGGGCTGGTGATGATCCTGAAGGAGGGAGCATTATGTAGGCTGCCTGTCATTGTCAACTTGGCCACTAGAGTTCTCAGAGTCATTGCTGGATGTTGGACAAAGCCATGTCATTCCTGGCCTGGTATTCTCTGGCAGATGCCAGAGGAGGAACTTGGGAGATGGTACCCATGATGGAGCTACATCCTTAGTGGGTATCAGGTTCTAAAGTCAGCATGTAGGCAGAAACCATGTGTAATCAACAGTTGCTTTGAAAAATCCATAAATTACCATAACATAAGGTCTATGTGATTTTGCCTATACACTCTTTTTATGGTAATATGTTTGTATAAATGTGTAACATATAGGAATGTATAGTATATAAGAAGGGGCATACCTAGAGAATATAATTTTAGTCTTTAAAGTTACGTAAATGCAAAAGAGCAGAAGACTGAAAGAATAAAAAAGGAACATGAAAGAAAGGGAGAAGCAGGTTTCTTTGAGCACTACCTGAAAGAAGGTTTTCTTTATTTTTTTTTTTTAAAGATTTTATTTATTTATTTGACAGAGAGAGACACAGCGAGAGCAGGAACACAAGCAGGGGGAGTGGGAGAGGGAGAAGCAGGCTTCCCGCTGAGCAAGGAGCCCGATGTGGGACTCGATCCCAGGACCCTGGAATCATGACCTGAGCCGAAGGCAGACGCTTAATGACTGAGCCACCCAGGCGCCCTGAAAGAAGGTTTTCGTTTAGGAGCCAGTTGTTGGAAAATCAGATCTCTCAGCACTAGGAGCTCCCCCAGTTCTGAGACACTCACACTGAGAGGGTATTGATGCCTCCCCCACCCCCACCTCTCTCTCCTTATTTATTTTGCAGGGCCCCATGGTTGAATTCTCCCTAAGTTAAATACATGTGTGATGCTGCCCTCCTGTAGTTACCATCAAATCAAGGAGGAAGGGTATGGACCTCTTTCCAGTCCATACTCCTGAGAGAAGCTGCTGAGCAGGCAGAAGTGGTTTTGGCAGGAAAGTTTAGGAGTTAGAACCATCTGCTGGCTGTGCAGTTTTGATCCTTACCAGCTGGGCCTCTGGTGAGGCCGGGTCCTGCAGAGGTGCCAGCCCGGAGCCCAGGTCTTTAGTTCACGCTGAAGTTTTCTCTGCTGCCATCATCCCTCAGCTCAGTCACATTCCCATGTGTTTACTGCTTGTTCTTTCTGCTTTGGGTCTTTCTGCTAGATGTTCTGGGCAGTGGGGTCAGAAAGCAGATGGTGGTACAAGCTGGGCCAGTGGTGGGTAGAATAAATCAGAGCCAACTATAAGAATCACAGACAGGCCTTTGTCTGGGAGCCTCCGGTGAGTGATTTGTCCTGTCTTGAGTGAGTGGTCTTGATTTGACCATGACTAAATGGTCGCTGTCACCTGGCTTTTGGAGGTGTTTTTGTGGGTGAAGGATGAAGATGATCTAGGTTGTCTTCATCTGTAAGCTTCTGGTGGTAGAGCCTGGTTCTTCACTTTTTTTAAAGCCTCAGAGTTCTAAGGACACAGCTATCCACTCATTCGTTAAATTAGGCATTGGGTGCTTGCTACGTGTCAGCCTGGATCAGGTTCTGGGGCATATAAAGATGAGGAGTACAGACATGATCCCTGCCATCAAAGGGAAAAAGACAAACAGCTTTAGCAGTTCCTGTGAGAGGTATTGTGACAGGGTAGGCTGCTGAAGGAACACAAAGGGCTGTGGGGAGCAAGGGAAGACCCCCAGAGGAACTGACCTTTAGCCTATGACCTGAGAAATAAGTAGGAATTACCTGAGCCAAGGGAAGGTTGGATGGGAATGAACAGGAAGAGGAGACAGCATGCAAAGGTGAGGAGGTGGGAGGGCTCGGGACGTTTAAAAGAGTGTGAGAATGTTAGCAGAGCCGGATCAAAGCACGTGAGGGGTAGAGTTATAAGAGATAAGACCTAGAGAGTTAGAAAGCAGAGGGATTCATACCCCGTATTAAGAAGTTTGGATATTATCCAGGAGATAATAAGGAGCCACTGAAAGCTTTTGAGCAAGGGAGAGGTGTAATCATATTTGCATTTTAGAAAGATCTCTTTTGAGTATTGTGTGAAGAAGCCATGGGAGGAGGGAGGGCCTGGAGCCAGGTTGCTTGTCTAGGGCATGGTTGAAGTAGTCCAGGTGAGATATGATGGTGGTCATGATGGAGGTGGAGGTCCACCATGCAGAGACGATGGGTACAGCTGAAGGAAGTGGACAGATCCCAGAATTTCCGAGTAGAACCAACGGGACTTGCCGATGAGTTGGATGGAAGGCATGAGCCAGCAGGAGGACCTAGGTTTCAGGCTTGAGGGCAAGGTGGTATCGTTCCCTTTCACTAAGCTGGGAATGCTGGAGGAGGAGTATGTTTAGGAAGAAAGCATGGCTTCAGTTGGGCCATGTGAATTAGAGATGCTCAGTAGACATCTCTGTGGAGATTACTGGCAGATTTGGAATAGGAGTTGCTGAAGAGAGCAACCACTGTGTGCTTCCTCAGCCTAGAGCCTTTGGAAGTACACCATTGAGCGAGGAAGTTTATAGCTCAGGCTGGACTACTTTCTAGATCTGCAGAGAACTCAGGTCCCTCCTATATCCTTCGACCCTCTGGACTTGGGCATGTTCAGGCACTCCGCATCTTTCCCCCATTATAGCTTGAAATGTCTCTTCATAAGCATTCCAAGCTGACCAGACAAACATAATATCCAGGCCACGGTCCACCTTGGGCCAAATCTGGTTGGGTAAATGGGGCAAGAAAGCAGAGACCTGCGGCTGGTGAGGGAAATAAGTCCCTGTCAGCCAGCACGTAGCCTCTTTGACCAGTGTGTGCACAGTGATGTGTAGCCTTGCTACCCAGCCGGGGACAGCCAGCAGAAGAGAGCCAGAGAAGCTGGAAGGAATTTCTCTTTGCCTCTCAGACATCTGGTTGAGCTGATGAGAGGAGGGATGGTGTTGGTGATGGTGGGTTGTTTGCAGGGACAGATCAGAAAGAATTTCCCTAGAGCTATTCCCAAACCTGGCTGACGAGGAGAATCAATTAAGATCTATATATTTGGAAAGTATGAAAATACAGAAAAGCGTCTATCAGCCCGAGTTTTAATTTTTGCTTTAGGTTTTTCACTTTTTAATTCATTTTTACTTATTAATTTTTAAAGTTTTTATTTTTAAGTAATCTCTACACCAACGTGGGGCTCGAACCCACAACCCCGAGATCAAGAGTTGCACGCTCCTCCGACTGAGCCAGCCAGGCGCGATGAGATTTTTAACTTTTTAATTGTGAAATGTTGCATGTATACAGAAAGTGCATAAAACACAGAGGTACTAAATAACAAATAATTACAAAGTGACACCTGAGTCAAGAACTAGATTATGGCGGGCTGCCAGAAGCTCCCATTTGTCTTTTTCAATCACATCTCCTTCCTTTCTCTTCTAGAAGTAACCACTACCCTAATGTTTTTGATTATCAATTCCTTTTTCCTCTATAGTTTTATCATCTAGTTTTGGAATCCCTAAACAGAATATTTCAGTTTTGAAAGTTTTTTTTTTAAAGATTTTATTTATTTGACACAGAGAGAGAGGGAACACAAGCAGGGGGAGTGGGAGAGGGAGAAGCAGGCTCCCCGCCGAGCAGGGAGCCCGATGCGAAGCCCGATGCGGGGCTCGATGTAGGGCTCAATCCCAGGACCCTGGGACCACGACCTGAGCCAAAGGCAGAAGCCCAACGACTGAGCCACCCAGGCGCCCCCCTTTTTAATGTTTTTGAGCTTTGTACAGATCATGATACGTGTTTTCTTTTATGTCTTTTATGTATGGCCTCTTTTGTTATACATTCTTTTGTAAGAATCATCCATGTCATTGCAGCTCTTTTTTTTTTTTCATCGCTGAGCGGTATTCCATTGTAGAACATATCACAAT